AGAATGAAATGGGGTAGGGTGAGAGACCCTTCTTCTTGGGCTTAACTTACCTGGAGGTGGAGAGCCCTGTGACCTGGGCTTCCGCCTCCCCAACCATGGGCTGCCTGGGACCCCCAGCTCCCTAAGCCAGTGGGTCCATGCCTGTGACGCTCTGGAGTTGAAGCCTCAGGACCGTGAGCAACTTGACATCTTCATTGACCAGCTGTACAAGGACATCGAGGCAGGTTGGTGAGATAGGGCCTTGGCCTCACCCAACCATGGTGACCCCCTAGTCAGATGGTGGACACAAAATCTTTGCCCAGGATGCTCTGTATTAATGGTGGGGGAAGGTAATCCCTTTGTGCCTATGGGGAGCTTCAGCTCTATCCACAGGGTACACAGGTGAGAAACAGCCCCAAGATTTATCCAGAGGCTTGATGCTGGGAGGAGAGGGGCTGCTGGATAAATAGGGTGTCTTATAGACAGAAAAGCAAGGCTTCTGTCTGAGAGAGGCGAGTTTAGGTAATATGATAGGGACTGATGCCTTAGTGTGGTGGGGTGGCAGGACAGTGGCGACAGTGCCTGTCCTTGTAAGCCTCGTTTCCTTTTCCTACCTATAAAAATGGGTAGAATAATGTCTGTATATTACTGTCTTACAGCAACTGGAGAGTTTCTTAACTGTGAAGGATCTGGCCTCTTTGTGCTTCAGAGCTGCTGTGAGTCATGGCGTTGAGGAGGGATGGTCCTAGGCGCGCCTTTGTCAGGTGGCCTCGCAGCCACAGTTTATCTTTCTCAGTTGGCCCTTTCTAGGCTGGTAGGGTTGAGTCTGGGAGCCCCATTAGGTCTGAGCTCCCACAGGAATTCCCCTGGGCCTTTTTGTTCTATCATTTTTTTCATTTGTTCACCCAACTGTTTGTGCTATAATACCTGCTTATTATATATAAAACCTTACAATAGGCCAGGCCCTGTACTAAGGCAGGCATAGAGCTCTGATTCTTGCAAAGGGATGCATGGGCTTTGCACCATCACTGCCCTGTGAGATTTGGGAGTACTGGGAGCCCAGGCTAGAGGGCGAGTCTCATCAGCACCTGATGAGGAGGGGCAGATTCAGCTCAGACAGCTGCCTTTTCCAGACTTCAGCCTCCCACCCCCTGGTTTCCTGACTACAAACTCCTCCTCCCAGGCTCCTGGGCCACTCTACTCTCCCAAACTGGATTCTCAGAGGGCCTGTGTCAGCTGTTACTAGATGTCCAATAGCAGGCAGAACTAAGTGGTCTCGCATGGGCATTCCTTCAGAGCCCTGTCCCTCCCTTTGTGAGACAGTGGGAACACGACTGAGAATGAAGTTGGCCAGTCACAGCGGGTTGGAGTGGGAGTGCTGTGGAGTTCATTTGTGTTGTGCTGTATGGTGTTTAGGAAAGAACACTGGAAGCAGAGTCTGGAAAGTTGGGTTCCAAAACGTGCTCAGCCTTGGCAGGGATGAAAGAGCAAGAAAGGACCCAGTGCTCTGCAGAATTGAGGTTATTATTTTTTTTAGGCAGTAATCCTCATTACCTGCCTCTTGTGATCCAGGCAACCACAGTTGTGTGCCCAATGCAGAGACCTCCTTTCCAGAAAACAACTTCCTTTTGCATGTCACTGCTCTGGAGGATATTAAGCCAGGAGAGGTGAGAGGGGCCAGGAACCATGGGGATGGGTGGGTAGTGGGCCTTGGAAGTTCTCTGCAGGGATCAGGAGCAGCAGTGGCTAGAGCACTTGAAGTTCAGGCTGTTGGGTGGAATCCCCACATACCTTAGGGTCTGAGTCTTTCAGCTCATGGTTCTGTTCTAACCCTACCTCACTTTTTCAAAATACGACTCCAGAAAGCCTCAGGACAGTGTTTGAGGGACACATATGTGCTCAGATTCTTGTCCCCAGCTATCTTTTGGTCAAATGCAGATATGTAGTTTCTAAGAAAGCAGGAGATAGCTCTTTGTGGGTTTACGGTCTTGTCTGTTAGTGCAGGCACAGTGCCTCGTTGAATCTTCTTCAGGGCAAGTAGCATCGATACCAAGACCTGTGATCCCAGCTGTAGACCTTGGCCATTGACTGGCTTTCACCACGGCTTGAGGCTAACCAGTCTCCTCTGTCTCAGGCATAGGCTGTTGGAGGCTTATAATGGCCTGCCTACTGAAGGCACTGGGAACTGGATGAGGGCAGCCCGCCCCTTCACTGAAGGGCAGCGCAAGCCTGGCTCCTAGAGATGGGGCAGTGGTTGGAGATAGGGTAGGTGTTGGGGAGACCCTTATGCCATTTAAGAGAGCACAGACCATCAGACTGCACCTCTCTACCCTACAGGAAATTTGTATCAGCTACTTGGACTGCTGTCAGCGGGAGCGCAGCCGCCACAGCCGCCACAAGATCCTCAGGTGCCAGCTGGGGACATGGTTGGGCGGCTGGGCTCTGGGGTCCTCTGTCCCGTAGCTCCCTGACTTTTCCCCCTCATCATCCCTCATCGCTGCAGGGAGAACTATCTGTTTGTCTGTTCCTGTCCCAAATGCCTGGCAGAGGCTGATGAACCCAATGTGACCTCAGAAGAGGAAGAGGAGGAAGAGGAGGAGGAGGAAGGAGAGCCAGAAGATGCAGAGCTGGGGGATGAGATGACTGATGTGTGATGTTGCCCTGCCCAGAAAGGGCCCTGCCCTAGACCCTGCCAGAAAAGGGGGTTCTTCCCCCAGAGAAATGGCTCGGAGGGAACTTCCCACTCCCATTGCCTGCTTTCCCCATTCGAGCCCTCTCTGCCAGAGGGTAGGACAGAGCCTGGATCCCTGGCCCCAACCCCCACCAGACCTCATGCCCTGGACACTGCTGCTGAGTTGGCTCAGACTCTGCACTGGCACTGAGCTTTTCACAACTGGCCTCCCCTTGAGGTTCTTCCACTCTAGGGTTTGAGGGGCTGGAATCAGGGCCAGGGCCTAACAGCGTTTCTTCTCCTTGGCCCCACGGCCCATACTCACCCATTCACCGGAGGCTTCTCCCCTTTCAACTTGCTATTGATTTCTTTTGAGGGGGTAAATCTGAGACCGAGTTCATTGAAGCAGAGACGGGAGGTGGTGAGGCGCCCTCACCTCCCCCCACCACAGCTGTGGCTGGTAAGGCAACTGCTTGACCACTGGCACAGCGAGGAGAGGCGGGCAGGAGGATCTGGGCCTCCTGAGCTCCTTCCCTGAGGCTGTCTCCTGGGAATGCTGGACACCCCCAGCTTTACTCACACCCCCATTTGGACATCTGGGGAAGTGGAGATTAACCCCTTCTCCAGACTCCGGAATCTTTGTAACTCGTGCCTTGCCTCTCAGGACCTGGCATAGTGGCTGGCCCTATGGAGTATGGAAAAGGCCTCTGCCTTCCTCAGGAGGGACACGTCGGGGGTCATCACCCTTTCTCATACCTGCTTCCCAATGAGCACTCAGCAGCATGGCTGAGACCTGGGGCTTGACAGGCCTCTGCTCCTTAGATTAGGATGCCCTGGTATTCCTGGGGCCAGTTAAAATGGGTCAGTGAGGGGCTCTCCTGGCCTCAATCTCCATCTTTAGGGTCTCCACAGAGGAACACTGAAGTCTTCCAGAAACCTTGAGGAGCTGGGCTAGATACTTGGAGAGTAGCCCTGTCTTGTTCCCTCCTATCCCCAGATTAGCACCACCCCTCTCACTCTTGGGTTGGATGTTATGGGAATTACAACCCATCTTTCCCAGTGCCTCCCTTTCCTGGAGGAGCCTGCCACATTCCCCTGCTGAGGGATCCCAGAGAGGACAGGTGCTCACCCCACAGGCCCTTTTCTGCACCATGGAGCCAGGTGGAACCTGTTTGGCCCCTTACCCACTGGGTTCTTACTCCTTCACAACAGTCAGCACTCCCCCTCTGCCCCCCACTGTTCTCAATAAAATGTAAGTGGTGATCGGCCTCTGCAGGAATGCTTTGTGGCTAGTGGCTGGGCAGGCTGCCCCAGGCGTGCAGCAGTCACAGGTGGGTGCAAAGGGGTACTGATTAGACCAGGTAATGGTAGGAGATGGGGGCTCCAGGCTCAACAGCTTGGGCTCACCTCTGCTCTTATTTACACTCTGCTATGCAAATGTTCTAATGCCCAAGAGCAAGGGTCTTGAGGTCCAGTTTGGGTGGCTTTTTAATTTTGAGATAGGGTCTCACCTTGTCACCCAGGCTGGTGTGCAGAAATGCAATCAGCTCATTACAGCCTTGAACTCCTGGACCCAAGTGATCTTCCCAAACTCCGCCTCCTGAGTAGCTGGGACTATAGGGTCACGCTACCACACCCAGCTAATTTTTAATTTTTCTGTACATATGGGGTCTTGCTATGTTGTTGCCGAGGCTGGTCTTGAATTCTTGGGCTCAAGTGATCCTCCCACCTTGGCCTCCCGAAGTGCTGGGATTACAGGCATGGGCCACCATGCCTGGCCCTGAGGTCCAGTTTGGATCCCCATGCTCTTTTTTTTTTTTTTTTTGAGTCTCGCTCTGTCGCCCAGGCTGGGATGCAGTGGCCGGATCTCAGCTCACTGCAAGCTCTGCCTCCCGGGTTACGCCATTCTCCTGCCTCAGCCTCCGGAGGAGCTGGAACTACAGGCGCCCGCCACCTCGCCCGGCTAGTTATTTTTTGTATTTTTTAGTTGAGATGGGGTTTCACCTTGTTAGCCAGGATGGTCTCGATCTCCTGACCTCGTGATCCGCCCGTCTCGGCCTCCCAAAGTGCTGGGATTACAGGCTTGAGCCACCGCGCCCGGCCAGGATCCCCATGCTCTAACATGAGTCTTCTCCTGAGGGGATGAACTCTGGCTTCCCAGAGCGTCCTTGGCTCTCAACAGGAAGCTGTGCTGGGATCTAAGACTAGCAGTCTGAGCGCTGGTCCCAAATGACCTGGACCAGTTTCTGTCCTCTGTGGGCGTTTCCTTTCCTCAGAACGACAGTATAGGATGAGATGAGTGAGTCTGAAGGTCCTGCCCACCCCTGTGTGCTCTTATTCTAGGACACAGTTGCAACCCTGATGAGAAGCTTTATTGCTAAAAAGTCAGTGAGGGTTTATTGAGTCGCCAAACACTAGCTCTTTAAACCACTCCAACAACTGCTGTGAAGGTCACTGTGCAGAGACCCTGGGTAGGGGAGGCTGGAGCCAGGTGAGTGTGACAGGTCACAGATGGCTCTCAGGCTGCCTACCTTCAGCTCCTTTTGTTTCAGGTTTTAGCCAGAAGCCCTGGGGCCTGTCTTTTACCCCTCCTTGCAGCATGAGACACCTTTTGGGGCCCTGGGGAAGGTAAGGCCAGTGGTGTGGCTTCCCTTTCAGCCTAGCAATGCCCAAACTCTTTTCCTCTACCTGGCTCCACTTGTCCCCAGATGCTCTCCCCAAATTCCAAATAGCAAAATTCCTGGGTTTCCCCTTCCCAGCTCAGAGTCATTTATGGCTGGAATGTGGGACAAACTCTTCTACCAGAAGGTCCAGGGTGGTTGCAGCAGCTCAAAGGTGGGGATGCTGGTGACATTGACTGGGATGGAAATGATGGCCCATGGCAGCCCATGCTGTTCCAGAGAGCGGCGGATCATGTAGCTGGGAGGGCATGAAGAGAAGTGGTGATGGTCACTTTCTTGGTACCCCATCATGCCCCACTGTCCCCATCAATCTGGGAGTTTCAAAGCCCAAGAACTTTTTTTACCCTCTAACTGAAGTACCCCAAGTTGAGGCCTGCAAGAAGGGACTGGTGATTACCCCTGACCTCCCCAAGTCATGGCGCCCAGCCTCATGCTGATAAAGCCAGAGGCAAGGAGCCCTCACCCATCTCGGCCGAGCAGGAAGAGGGCGGGGATGTCAGCTGTGCGCTGGGTACTGTCCTGGATCATCTCCACGTAGAAGCTGTCATTGTCAACTGCGTTGTCAGAGATGATCACTGCCCGCCCGCCGTGCTCCTGGACCACCCGAGTCTTGGAGAGGAAGGAGCAGCCCCTGGAAGAGGTGGTGATGAGACCAAAGGAAAGACAGGTCCTAGCTCCCCCTTCACCAGACCATCACCCTGGGAGTATAGAAGGCAGACTCTGAAGAATTTGTTATAAAGGCTCATAAGTAAATAGCTAAAAGCATGGATAATTTTAGAACTTTTTTTTTTTTTTTTTTTTTTTGAGACAAGGTTTTGCTCTGTTGCCCAGGCTGGAGTACAGTGACATGATCTCGGCTCACTGCAGCCTTAACGTGGCCTCAAGCAATCCTCTCACCTCAGCCTCCTGAGTACCTGGGACCACAGGTGTGCAACACCGTGCCCAGCTGAGTTTTGTATTTTTTGTACAGACAGGGTTTCTCCATGTTGGCCCAGGCTAGATATTTTTCAAAGACCCTTAAAAAGATGAAATTTTCAAAAACAGCTCTTTCAAAGCACTACCACCAGTAATCTCAGAATCTGCCCTATGCCTGCTCAACCCTCATGTCCTGCCTGCCCACTCCTTACCCCCTCTCCACCAGAGCAATCTGGTCCTGGATGAAGAAACCGTTGCTGAGTTCCCCACAGGCCTCTGGAGGTTCAGCGGGGACAAGGTGAATCTGCTCATACCTTGTGTGCTGAAAAACATTTAGAGAGGTGAGAGTATAATGAGACATACCAGCTTTAGGACTGGGCTGACAATCCCATCTTATTGGCACCTTGTAAAGTGTGAAGGAAACATAGAGTGGTTTCTGTATCGCCAGACACTTAAACATTTTTACTTAATTATCGCAAAGGCCTATCTGGTTGTCCTACACAACCCTACCCTTCCATGAGATAGGCAGGGGAGTTGGTTGTAGATCCAGAGAGAGGAAGTGACTTGCCTTAAGTCACATAGTTCAGAGGTGGAGCTGGCAGAGGAAGCTGGTGCTCTTGGCTTTTCACTTCATGTCCCCTAAAAACACAACTTGTCCCTCCATGGTGCCTAGGTCTACATTATACTCGGGAGTAGCTGGAAGAGCTTCCTTTCTGTGCTGCAGCTCATGGAAGGCAGAGCTGATTCTGCTCCGTTCCCTGTCCCGCACTCAGGTGGGATGAGAGGGTCACTGCAGCTCAGTGAGGGGAGGAGGGAGGTTGAGGATCAGAGATCAGGTGTCTCCCTTAACTTACAAAGATACCACCAAAGTCCTTGGCAGGTGTGGCTGTGAAGATGTATCGAATGTCCCCAGGACTCAGCACTTGAAAGTACAAATAATCATGGATACGGAAGCCTGAAGGATAAAGAGTACAGGTAAGAAGCCTCCCAGGAACAAACTGGTTTAGGTTCAGATCCCAGACCCCGTGTCTTCAGCTGGGCTGGCTATAGTCTGGACGCAGGGGCCTGGCTTCAGCCAACGGGGTCCTCTAGTGGCGGGGTTGGGGGCTAGATGGTCTCTGTCCTGGGGAGGATAGAGTTGATGCAAAGTTAGTAACCCCAGAGGTTTATATCAGCTGCTGCTGCTTACACAGTAAGCCAGGAAAACTGAGAGCTCCAGGGTTAATATTTTTGCTCTGAAGACCTGGGAGTTTCAGGGTAGAGATGTAATGACCTGCATACAAAGCAATTCTCACTAAAATTTAAAAGTTGACTTTCTGGTCCCACTGCCACCCCCTTAGTCTAGTCACTATCATTTCTTGTCCTGACAGCTCAGCTTCTTACCTGGCCTCCCTGCCTCCATTCTTGCTCCCCAAACAACCACCAGAAGTCGAAAACATCTTAGCAATTATGAGCACATCACCATGCCTAGGGTTTCAATACCTTTCAAGAACTGCCCTTTGCATTTAAAATTTAAACTCTTTTCAAACTGTGGCCTACAAGACCCTGTTTGCTGTGGCCCCTGACCACTCTTCCAACCTCATCTTCTCCATCCTGTGTTCAAGCTACACAGACCTTTCAGTTTCTTCACTTCTCTGGGTCTTTCTGCAAGCTGTTCCCTGAGCCTGGAAAGCCCCCTACTCCCACCCCACCCTACTTCCACCCCTTTACCTGACTCTTTCCTAGTCATCCTTCAGGTCATACCTTAAATGTCACTTCCTCAGAGAAAGGTTCTGCCTCATGATTGCCCTCCCATACCCATTCAAATGTACTCTTCAATAAATGGGGACTTTCAACATAATTTGTAATTATACAGCTTTCATAATTTTTCTTTTTCTTTTTTTGAGACAGGGTCTCACTTTATCACCCAGGCTGGAGTGCAGTGGCACGATCTCGCCTCATAGCAACCTCCACCTCGCAGGCTCAAGCGATTCTCATGCCTCAGCCTCCCAAATAGCTGGGACTACAGGCATGGGCCACCATGCCTGGCTAATTTTTTTTTTTTTTTTTTTTCGGGGTTTCGCTCTGTCGCCCAGGCTGGAGTGCAGTGGCCGGATCTCAGCTCACTGCAAGCTCCGCCTCCCGGGTTTACGCCATTCTCCTGCCTCAGCCTCCCGAGTAGCTGGGACTACAGGCGCCCGCCACCTCGCCCGGCTAGTTTTTTGTATTTTTTTAGTAGAGACGGGCTTTCAGCGTGTTAGCCAGGATGGTCTCGATCTCCTGACCTCGTGATCCGCCCGTCTCGGCCTCCCAAAGTGCTGGGATTACAGGCTTGAGCCACCGTGCCCGGCCTTTTTTGGTATTTTTTAGTAGAGACAAGGTTTCGCCATGTTGCCCAGGCTGATTTTTTTTTTTTTTCATTTTTTAAATAGGAATAGGGTCTCGCCTTGTTGTCCGGGCTTGTGATCCTCCCACCTTGGCTTACCAAAGTCCTGGGATTACAGGTGAGAGCCATCGCACCCGCCCTGGATTCATAATTTTTAAATATCTGTCTCTTCCACTTCATAACTTCATAAGTAAATATAGGGGTAGCCCTATAAATTTTGCTGAATGAATGAACAACAACTATATCCAGCTCCATAGCACCGAGGAAGAGAATTTCCAGACAACTAGATTTTTCTGGGGCATGGGATCTTCTCCCCAGCACCAAAGTTTAATGTTGTACCTGGACTTGAGTCCCTGGTTTCCTTAACCCAGAGAGACTGCGGAATGTTGAAGGATGAAAACTGCTGTCATGGCCGGGCGTGGTGGCTCACGCCTGTAATCCCAGCACTTTGGGAGGCCGAGGCGGGCGGATCACGAGGTCAGGAGATCGAGACCATCCTGGCTAACACAGTGAAACCCCGTCTCTACTAAAAATACAAAAAAATTAACCGGGCGTGCTGGTGGGCGCCTGTAGTCCCAGCTACTCGGGAGGCTGAGGCAGGAGAATGGCGTGAACCGGGGAGGCGAAGCTTGCAGTGAGCCGAGATGGTGCCACTGCACTCCAGCCTGGGCAACAAAGCAAGACTCCGTCTCAAGAAAAAAAAAAAAAAAGAAAACTGCTGTCAGAAGTCCATTGATCTATCAACAAACTACTAAGTCACTACTGTGTACCAAGGCTGGGATTGATTAAGGCTTTAGCTGTCTTTGTTTACTGCCCAAATCAAAGCCATCAGTTAGAGCTCCCATGGCTTGGCACTGGGCTATACAGTCCTGGGAGTGGGGACTCCCCGTCAGATACAAATACACCCCCAGAAAGCCTTCCTGGACTAGCGTCAAACAGTCCCTCCCCAACCCTTGCTTGCCTTTGCGTGTGCTTATTTGTGTAAAGTTGTGGGTATACGTATGTGCTCATGTGTGTGCATAGATGTATACATTTATGTGCTTGTGTAGGTGTAAACGGTTTGTGCGTGTGTGCCCACGTGTAGGAATGTGTGCTCCTGTACATGTGAGTGCTCACATACATATCTCCAGCCTGTAGTATCTTTCCTTAGCTGTCCCTCCCGGTCGCACCCTAAGTCACCTGGGTCGGCGCTAGTGGGCGGGGAGGGGCGAGTGGGGATATCTGCTTTGTCGTGGGAAGCTGAGGACTCAGAGCTTCAGCCTCAGGCTGCGCCCACCTTATGTCCCTGGACCACCACCCACTTATTCCGGCCGCCCGCTCCCAGACCTGTCCTGCTCTGAACTCGCGGGGTCCCCAAGGTGACCTGTGGCCCCCAACCCGAGACGCGGCGCAAGCTGGACGGCCAGCCCCGCCCTGCAACGCAGTCCCACCCGTTGCCGCTCACCGTGGGCCGCGACGCACGCGGGGAGCCAGAGCACGAGACAACACCAGCCCGCGGCGCCGGGGACCATCTCCAGGGCCCGGCCCGGCGCCGCGTTTCCTACCGCCGCCCCGCCGCGCGTCGCTCTCCCGACTTTAGTCTGACAGCTGCCCCGGCCTCCCGCCCACATACCCGCTCTCGCCGCGGGCTGGACGACGGGAACGAGGCTCACGGCTGATTGGCTCCGACGCCTGCTCATGTAGCCACACTTTCCGCCTCTGCGCCTTAGCCTACTTTCTATTGGTAGAGAGAAGTGGAGCCGGGGGCTGATTGGCTTAAACTCTTAACAGCTACAGCCAGCCCTCGCCTCAGCCCCGCCCCAGCATTTCTCAGTTTGGACTCCACTCTCCTGGTCCTCGAGGGCGGTGGGCGGGCCGCGAAGGACAAGCACTGGCGGTGTGCCGGTACCGGACTTGCTTCAGCTGCCGATAGTCATGGCCGTTAGTCCTTGCGGTCTCGGTCCTGTCCACTCTAAGGCCGCCTCGCTTGACTACGATTAGCCTTCTCCCAGCTGCGCTTCCCTCCTCCCCACGCCTTCACGGGAAGGCACTCGTCTTGCGCCAGGGGGTTCTCCGCCCAGTGCCACCAACGCTTGCGCACTCACCGTGGATAGGCGCTGGGGACGCGGCCTGGCGCACGCCATCCACGAGGAGCCTCTGGCCAGTGCAAAGTCAGAAAACGGGCTTTGGGGCCAGCTTCCCACGCTCGCTCTGTTGACACTGTGTAACTATGACACTGGACACCGTAACCTGTCAGCCTCCGTTCTCTCATCAGTAAAATGGCCTTAATAATAGGACCAACGCAATAGGGTTATGAGGATTAAATGAGATAGCTCACGTAAAGTGCTTTGGCACCAGCCTATCCCACACTTTGCGTCCCACACTTTTGCCTTTATTGCATTCCTTGGTCTGGCGCCCGGGGATGGAGGAAGGTGGAATTAAGTTAGTAGGTGATGCGGGCCGAGCAAAGACCCTCCGTGCTCAAAGTAGCACGACCGAAATGCGGTGATACCCTCTTTAATGACCACCCCTCACTAGCGAGCCCCGGAAGCCCAGCCTCAGGTCCTTCTAGCCGCACCGACTCGGTGGTAACGAACCATAGAGTAGCGGAAGTGGTCCGTTCTTTTCCTCTCCCGGCCCAATCTTCTGGGTATTTCTATTGCGCGAAGCATTGTGGGTTGCTGGGCGGCCGGGTCTCGGAGAAGAGGTGGCGGGCTGCTGAATCAGCTTCCAAAATGATGGTGAGTGGCGTCTCGCGCATCCGTCGCCATCAGCTGCTATCTGGCCGGTGGCCGGCCCCTCTCGGCCGGGGCTTACTCTGTAGGACCCTTTTTTACTTGACGCTTCTGTTCTCGCCCAGATCCCCAGCTTATGGACCACCCCGGGCAGTCGCGGTCTGGCTCGGCCTGAGCACGGCGCTGGAGCCGTTGGCGAGGGCTGCGTGGGGCTTTAGGGGAGTCTCTGGGCGGGCCGGTTGGGGACTACAAGTCCCAGGGTGCTTCGGGCCCGCAAACCCACGTCGAGGACCTCTTTTTGAGCCCCGCATGACCGGGACTTGCGTGAAACAGTGCAGGTCGGCCGTGGTTACGCGGTCGGCGCTAGACTTGGAAGCCCGGGCTGCCCTGAGATTTGCAGTCTATAAAGACGTGTGCTTCCTAGAACCGGCAGAGGCACATTGGGGACCTCATATTATGCCCGCCCAGGGACTCACTATGGTCACTCGCTGACCCTCACCGCAGTGTGCAGAGAAGCAGACGCCTTCCCTAGTACTTTTAATTCATTCACTCACTCGCTCAGTCATTAAATAAATGTGTCTCTAGTGCCTACTGAATGTACCAAGCCCTGGTGGTTGCCGGGGGGTGCAGCCTCTCAGCCAGGAGAACGGGAAAGGCAGATGGAGACACTGTATCGGAGGTGGGAAGACCCAGGCTCGGACTCCGGTGACATTAGAAAGACTTTTCTAGTTGGCTACCTAACTCTGGGTCTCGTTTTCTTAAAATGTGGGGCGAGGGAGTTGCTGTGAGTCCTGGAGCCACCTAAAGTGCTCCTTGTAGCCCTACTCCCCACACCTCTTTTCTCCCTCTCGTAGCTTCAGATGCTTCCCGTGGGTCCCAAGCCTCGATGGTATCTCCTGGGTTGTTGTTGAGTAGGGCCAGCTTCCGAGGTGGTGTTTGACCCTGACTGAGATACTACTTTCTGTGCACTTTGCAGTTCACTTATTCATTTTGGTCTGTCCGACTCAATCTGCTGTTCTTTTCCTGCTTCCTGCAGCTTTTCCCTGTCCTGTTAGGGAGGCAGACTCCTTTTAGGTGTTCTACCAGATGCCCTGTGAATCCTGCTTGTACCCAACGTAGAAGGAAATTCGCATTTAACTGTACTTCTCTTCCCTTTATGTCTCCAGCATTGCTCATTCTTGAAGTCTTCATCTTCTGTGCAGAGGCAGCATAGTATAGCAGTTTAGAGTAAGGCCTCTGGAGCTACACTGAATGCCCAGGTTTGTAACTTAGCTCTGGCACTTACTAGCTGTGTGACTTTGAGCATGTTATTTAATTTCTGGTTCTCAGTTTGTCAGTGTGCCTAGCAGATAGTAAGCACTCAGCAATGTTAGCTCTTACTTGGCGAGGTGGTTGTTTGGTTCCTTTCATCTCTGTAATCAGTCCACCCCGCTGCCAAGTCTTCCATAAGAGCTTTAGTTCACATTCACACAGCTGGGAATCAGAACCGCCATTCTCTGCCGTGATAAAACTTCACCAGTGGGCTCTATCTCGGTCACCACACTTGGGTTTTCCCTGAACTGACCCCTATTCTGTCAGATTGACTATTTCCCTGCTGTATTGGCTCTTAATATCTCCTTCCCATTTTTGGAACGTAAAACTTCTATCTCCAAGAGTCTTCCTGTCTTCAAATTGGCCCCTGGTATTCTAGAATCCTTCTGTAATCGAAAGAGAAGTGAAAAGGTCCCCTGAAACCTCAGTCCTGTGATGTTGGTACAGCTAGTATAAAATGTATGTCCTTGCCTTTGTGGTGTTGAGCGCTGTGTGCCTTGGCATATACACACTTGTTCTTGTTTTGTAAACCATTAAACTTAATGATGCTTAGTGAAAGTTTTAAAGTAGGATGAAGAGGAAGATCAGTAAGCTGAAATTCCAAAACCTTCCATGATACCTGTGACAGGATTACTGGAGTCTGCTTTTGTTTGTTTGTTTCTTTTTTTTTTTTTT